CCAAATTGAAAAGAAGTAAAAAATAAAATGAATAAAGTGGGTGTTGATAAATACTCACGACATATTCTGAATGTTGTTGTATTTATCTCGGTATTTATCGACACACTTTTGTCATTTTATTCATGTCATTATAAGGGTGTTTCTTAGTTTTGAACTGCTATTTATTCATTTGATGAGAGAATCGGTTAATGTACATTTTTTAAAAAAATTATAAAATTTTCTTTACAAAATTACATTAAATACAAGATGAAAGTAGACCAATATTTGATATTACGAATTGGAATTTTTCTGCAGGTAATGGTTTCTTGAAAGCATTCGTCAGTTTCTCACCTGTTGGGATTAGGGATGCACCGGGTACCCGGTACCGGCCGGGTACTCGGTACCCGGCTTCGCTTTGGATACCCGGCCGGGTATTTTTTCCATATTCAAACACAACAAATGCCGCCTATCTATAAGCCCGTAGTAAAATCTGTAATCTGTATTTTCATCTTTCATCCTGTCTCGGTGAATCCCCTTTCCTTTCTCGGTGAATCCCCTTTATTTACGATTGATACACACGCACGGTGGGATGGAAAAACAAAAATAACAAAATCTCTCGCCTGTGTGTACATTGGGTTGCCTTTATCTGCTCCTGATCATGCATGGTTTTTATTGATGTTTCAAAGAATTACGTTCGTCGGCATTGTGGCTTAGTGCAATATAGATATTAGGAGATAGATATGATGGAATATAGAAACTACACGACAGCTTCAATGCACTTATTTGGTTGATAATACCCGGCCGCCGGGTATCCGTTACCCGGCCTACCTTTAAAATCGGGTACCCGATACCCGGCTTTTTCAGAAAACAGTTCCCGGTGCATCCCTAGTTGGGATATATTTTATTGTTGGGTTTTTTTCAAATAATTGCTTGCGAAAGAAATTTTATTTCATGTCAATATGTCGAGGGGTGAATCTCCAGGAAAAATGTGTACACCAGACTTCCAATGAACAAAGACTTCCAAAGACTTCCAGTTACTACCAAAGACTTTGAACGAAAACCATTAACTTTCATTGATTTTTTAAGCTTTCCAATAATCCATTGAAGCACAATAAACAATTTAGTTCAGTTTCAACTGTGTTCGCTTCTACATATACAGGGTGTTCCTCAAAGACATGCTGATATTTGAGGGGGTGATTCTCTGACTCATTTTATAAGAAGATAACTCCATATGAACGTATGTCCTAAAGGTCTTGACTTTTGAGATACAGGGTGATGAAGTTTTGAAAAATATTCAGTTTTTTGATGATAACCAAGACAATATTATATACATCTTTTTGAAATTTGGTACACGCCTTCCATGCATCAAGATGCGTTTTCTGATGTACAAGAATTCTCATTTTCTCTACCAGTGGCACCGTTATACGGGAAAATTATTGTTTTTATTTTACTTGAAAGTGAGCAACGACGAAAAATTTTCAAATTCCATACAATGCTATCAGAGGCTATTTAATTATGTACAAGAAAGATCCTCTTGTTGATGCTCGATAGAACGCTTCGTTCTCGAGAAAAAAGCGGAAAAGCGAGACCAGACTTCAAATTTTGATGTTTGGGTACTCCATTCAGGACATCCATTAGGTACTGGATAACCACCGTATGTAACATTTTGAAATTTGTATGCCGATTCCGTCACATAGCAGACAAAATTTTGCCATCACGAAAAGCTATACAGGGTGGACAAAAAAATAATCTATGCGCATATTTTCCACAGGGTTGGGCAAATCTTGATTTAAAAAAAAAACAAAAATCATTGATTTAAATGAAAAAATCATGATTTTTTTTGGATTTTTTTGATTTTTTTGATTTTTTTGATTTTTTTGATTTTTTTTTTATTTTGGTCTTAATGCGCGATAAATACCTATAGGTACCTGTCAACATTTAGGTCAACATACTCTTTCAAATGCCGTGGAACAATGGAAAAACTTAGAATATATCTTTGAAGAAGATCACAATCTATCAATTCAACAGCTTCAAAAATTTCAGCGCCGATAAGAGAACAAGCACTGACCCCTTACCACTTGATAGCTTATGTGATGGACCCATCTGAGCAAAAGTACCCACAGGTTGACTGTCAATGAAAAAAATGTGGCTTTAAAAACTATGAAAGAAATGTATGGTGATAGTGGATTATTACCATTTCTAATAAAATTCAATGCTCGTTCTTTGCCCTTCAAAAACATCATGTTCTCTGAAGAAATTACGAAAAACGTCAGTGGAATTCAGTGGTGGCTATCACAAGCTGACAATGAATCAGAAATCAAGAAACAGATACCTGTGTTAAAACAATTTCTTTGTGCTATTGCTTCTTCAGCCTCAGTGGAACGAGTGATCAGTACCTTTGGGCTGGTACGTTTAGATTTGAGAAATAGACTGGGGGTTGAAAAGGCAGAAAAATTAGTATTTTTGTTTGAATATTATATTGAAAATCAAAATGTTCTATGTTAGTTTCAATGTCAGAAAACTTATGATTATAAAATAATGTAGAGTATGATTAAGATATACATATGTATATGTTTCAATCAGGGTTGGCATGAATTAATTCATATGAATTGAATGAGTGATTTAATTCGTGAGTTAATTCCATTGACTTTTTTCGAAAAAGTCATGAATTCATACAAATTTTTGAAAATGAGACAAATTGCCTTTGATTTTAACTAGTTTAAACTGAAAAATTCGATCGTATTTTGGCAAGACTTTGTTAATTCAAGCATGACAGAGATTTTTACTCACAGATATATACAGTATCAAGTATCATCCATAAAGTCCGTAACATATGCGAACAGGTTTATTATCACAGCATCGAATTTTTTTCTCTCGGCGATCCATTATGCATATCCGATAACTTGAAAATCGATTTTGACACATGTCACGTGATCACTGGTATGGTGATAAATAAAAATAATACTATAAAGCGACGAAAAGTGGGGTTAGATAACAAAATATCTATAAACATTTTTTATTAAGTTGCTATTCCACATTCAGTTTCGAGCAATTTTTGGAGGAGAATTGGACATAGCTATATTTTTTCGAATATTCTTCAATTTTGTTACAATTATCTTTTTTTTTTCTGACATTAGTGATGTTGATGATGTACAAGTTGAATAGAATTCAATTTCATGCTCACATATGGAGTTTCCAGCCATTATTTGAGAAAACTGAAAATAGCTATTTTTATTTTTTTTAATAACTTCATCTTCCCATCTAACCCCACTTTTTGCCATCGTAATTTTTTGAATTTACCGCCATACCAGTGACATGTGTCAAAAACGACTTTCAAGTAGTCAGACATGCATAATAGATCCCAGAGAAAAAATGTTTCGATATTCTACTAATAAACTTTTTCTAAATGTGTCACGAACTTAATGGATCATACTGGATCTATATGTATCTATTATTTTGTATTCTATCATCACTTTTAATTTTGTTTTGAAAAAATGACATGTTGTATTATGATGTTATTCTACAAGATTTCTGAAGGGAATAAAAACATAGTTTTTTCGTTTCTTTTTTTCTATTTCGCTTTGGGTAAATGAAATTTGTTTTTTTTTCAAATGAATCAATTCAAAAAAGTCTGACTTAATTCAAAAATTCGGACTTTGATGACTTTTTTATAAAAGTCATGACTTATTCCAACCCTGGTTTCAATATCCCGTTTTTCAGGGGTTTTACTATTTTATTTCAGTTTAATATTTTTTATTATTCAAATAAATGATAAATGTTCTCGAAATTATTATTTTGATTTAAATTGTGATTTAAAAAAAATCACTTGATTTAAATCATGATTTTTATCTTGATTTAAATCAATTGATTTAAATCAGCCCAACCCTGATTTTCCACATTGACATCCTGTATCTCAAAAGTTATTGGACGTTTACGAGATATGTTCATATTGAGTTTTATTCTTGATAGGTATAGGTCGAAGAATCGGCCCCTTGAATATTAGCATATCATTAAGGAACACCCTGTATAATATGATCTGTTAATAATATCGCAACAATATTTTCAAATATTTCTTGCTACCTCAAAAGATTCCTATTATGATTGAAAGAATGACTATATAAGTAATCGAAATATATGTAGGTTCAGATTCTCAGGTAATTACATAAATTTGGTAAGTTTTCTGTTTGTGCAAGAACATTTCAATATAAAAGAAGGATATATAATGTTTATTGCCAAGTATATATTTATTTATTGTATCAGCGACTATTTATATATTGCTGCGCATTCACAATAAAAATTTGTATTCAAAATCTCTCGATGATGAAGCCACAAATAAAAAATATCTCAATATCATAGTCAGGTACGCTCGTTTTCAGAAAACATGTCGCATATTGGACGGTGGCAGCTCTCCCAATCACCACTGCAATACGAGCGTTCATACCGTCCAACCGCGACATGCTCTCTGAAGACGAGTGTACCTATACATGATTTGAACGCGATATGGAGGAACATCTGGGTTATTTAGGAACATAAAAAAGGCAGGTTTATACAACCAGGGTTGGCACGAATTAATTCATATGAATTAATTCAGTGATTTAATTCATGAATTAATTCACATGACTTTTTTAAAAACGTCATGTGAATTAATTCATATGACTTTTTTAAAAAGTCATGAATTAATTCAAAATCACAAATCACAAAAATCCGATAATATTATGGCAACCTAGCCATCCGGCAACCGTGGAGTGCCCACAAAACAATACAATGCACCGCGTCCGCGCGTCGGGGTCGGGGAATAACCGAAAAACCGAAATCAAAGAGGGAAACCCAGAAAAACGGCATAACATTAGAACATTACATTGGCATCAATATCACGATGTAGAATGTAGAGTAAGAGTAGGTAGATAGTCTTATCGTGAAATTTGGCTATTTTTGGGACTGATTGTGCTTGAGATTTCTAAACTTTTATTATTTTATTACTTTACATTCTGTTAAAGTATATTTTTATTAACGTGTGAAACATGAGTGGACGAAAAAGGGATCCTATTTGGAAATATTTTGACGAGTGCAACCAACAAAATCCAACCAACAAAAAAGCAGTGTGCAAAGCATGCGGTAATAAGTTGCAAGCTATGGTTAGTCGCATGCAAAAACATAAAAGTAAATGTAAAATTGATCCTGAAAAGACAGATACAACTATACAGGATATCAGTGGATCTGACTTAGAGGAGGAAATGCCGTTAGCTGCCATAAAAAGAAAAATTACAAATTCTTCACAAGATGGATCTACTAGAGAAGGTGAGCTTTTAAAAACAGATAAATATATTTAATTAATTTGAAATCTAAAGTGGAAGTGTTGGAAGATAGTTCCAAATTTCCTATTGATTCTAATGTATTGATTTACATTTTTTTTGCAGAACCACAGACTTCAAAAATTCGCAAAATATTTAATGAAGCTGCAATCCAAAAATCACAACGAAAAACATTGAACTCCTTCGTGATGAAAACTACAGCAAATGATAAAGATAGATTTGATACGCAGTGTGCCAGATTCATATTCGCTACAAATTTGGCTTTCAAATTTGTGGAACATCCAGAATTTATAAAGTATTCGGAAATGCTACATCCTGGATACAAGCCTCCAAATAGAAAAGTAATTGGGAATACTTTGTTGGATCAAGTTTACCAGGAGGAATTAGATAAGTGTCAAATTTACTTAGAAAATAAAACAGTATGCTTGAGTATTGACGGATGGTCCAACATAAGAAACGAACCCATAATATGTGCATGTGTTGTAAATGAGGATGGTAGTGTATTTTTGGTTAACACAACAGATACATCAGGTAGTCCTCATACCAGTGAGTATTTGACAAGTTTAACTTTGAAAATTATTCAAGATACTGAGAAAAAATTTAAATGTTTTGTAAGAAGTGTAGTAACAGATAATGCTGCCAATATGGCAAGAATGAGAATGCAAATACAACAAAAAAGTGTTGATATTGTTGATGTAAATGTTATTACATATGGCTGTTCCGCTCATATTTTGAATCTACTGGCCAAAGATTTGAATGTTGAAGGAGTTATGAACAATATAGTAAGAATCATAAAGTATTTTCGAAATAACCATTTAGCAAAAGCATTGTTATCTTCTGAAGGTGGATCATCACTTCCATTGCCAATTGAGGTACGCTGGAACAGCTCATGTGATTCACTTGAGGCATATTTGAAAAACTGGCATACACTGGTTAAAATTTGTGAAGAACAGCGCAATAATATTGATAATGAGATAAATAAATTGGTTTCTAACATAGCCATTAAACGTAATGCTGAAGATCTGATGGCTCGACTAAAACCTATATCATGCGCACTGGATTTAATGCAAAAAGAGAATTGCACGATCGCTAGGTCTGTTGTTATTTGGAAAAAATTGATAAACGATTTAAATGATGTTTTAGACAGCACTGCGAAAAAAAAGGTTATTTCCAGATACACACAAGCTGTTCATAGATACCACTTCATTGCGCACATGCTCAGTCCAACAAATATGAAGGAAAATATCAGTTTAACTGAAGAGGAAAAGCAAATAGCTTTGGAATCTGCAGCTGCAGAGTTTCCAAACATATTACCGGTATTGTTAAGATTCCATGGAAAGTTATCCCCTTTTAATGAGGTCCTGATGCAAGAATCTGTTATTTCAAGTATGACAGATATTGAGTGGTGGATGTCAATATTTTCACTAACAGATTTAGATCCTGCAGCGGAAAATAGCATCAAACAACTTATGACAGGAGCATTGTCGTTCTAAATGGAAATCTAGTTAGGTAGCTAGTAGGCGAGAGCATAATATTGTCTGTTCTTTGAAAAAATAAATGAAGGCGTTCAGTAGTACAGAGACATCAATGTGAACCAAGTAAACTAAGTTATTCATATTTTATTCCTAACCCATAACATTTTTCATGGTCCTGTCAAGTTTGTAAATAAAAATCTGTCATGTTGAAACCCGAAAATGAAACATTATCACGAAAAATATTATCAAGTATGAAAACCATCTACACACATAAAAAAAATTTCTTCGAATGAGAAAACCCATTCTCTTGAAAATTCAATTGTATAACTTCTTTGAATTGAGCATATTCTTTTGAGTCGAAAAATCTGGTATGTTCAAGACAATAGTGTCATATTATTGAAATATATTCTCAAACCAAGAATGTAATTATTGAATTACTGATTTAATTACTTCAACTCAATCAGAACAATTTTTCAATTCGCAGAAGCGTACTATTTTGTTTCAATAAATTTATTGCTTGATCCAAGAATATAAGTATACATTTCTTCAAATCAAAGAATGTCCATTTCATCGAATGACATATTCAATTTTCTTGAATTGCAAAAACCTAATATGTTGAGGCAATACGTCATTTTCTTGGAACAAAAATATAAATAATTATTTCTTCAAATGAAGCATTCTAATTTCATCATATTGATATTGTAATTCCATTAAATCGAAGACTCCTGATAGTTTTATTCTATGCCATATTTACTTGATTCAAAGATATGAATATCAATTTTCTCAAATGAAAGGAATATAATATCTTCCACTTGATGATATCAATAATTTATCCAATTGAAGAAGCAACATTTTGATTCAATACGTTATATACTTGATTAAAGTCTATGAGTAGGTATTTCTTTGGAAGAAAATAATATGCCCTCGGAAATCAAGGGTAAGCAATCCTGTTGCCAAAACTCAGGCCTCAGTCTTCAATCATTATTGACCATGCTCACATCATTATGACAGGCCCACACCGGCGAAACGGCATTAAGCTGCGAAGTTTGAAAATTCTGAATGTTTTATCGAGTGTGTATAGGAGGAAACGTCTTAGAGTATAAATATCTAACAAATGCTGAACTTGTAGAGAGCTGGCGAAGGAATAACATTGAATTCTCTTGGTAAGTAGGTACCTTTGCAAATTTCGGTAGTCATTGTGAGTGAATCAACAACTTTTCAATCAAAATAACAGGAATTTAGTAGTATCCTGCTATGAAAATATGCTTTGCTTATTAATTTATACGAAATTCTTTTGTAGCAAAATGACGACTGGTTGATAAATGAAGAAGTATTATCTTATTATCTACAAATGACTTGCAAAGACTTGAAAGAACCTTGACATTAGGTGAGAGAAAGTTTCCTGCCGAGTATCTCGAATCTATATACCCGATATCTTCCAGAAGGCATCATGATATTACTGGAGTCACGATATTATTATAGAGGTGAGTTTTTGATCAATCATAATACTTATGTCATTGTTGGTGACCGTTATCATTTCCAGCGAAACTTCAAGAAGACGAAATCAAGGCATATGATTATTCTATAACCATTTGGGGTCTTGATGGACAATACTGATCCAAGATGTACATACCTATACATGGGATTATTGTCAACTAAAGAAACAAATATATATTCCTTCACGAATATTCTGTGGAATTTAGTTATCTCATTAGGAATCATTCACAGTTTTGAATCAAAAACATGATTATATTTTTATCCAAGCAGTCAATATTTTGATACAAGAAAATAGTCCCATTGGAGAGAATGAGCACAATATTTATAATAAAAAACTCATAAATTCGAATCGAAAATATCAATATGTTCATTGAAAATTCACGGAATTTTGACTTAAATAAATCGTTCATTTTGAAATGAAATAGAACAATTCTCAATAATAGTAATCCATAGTTGCAAATTGAGAAAATGATTGTTTTCATTTGGTGGATGGATTCCATATCCCAAAATTATGGTTTTCCTGAAATAAGTAAATGGTTTTGTCAATATGAATTATTTCAAATCTCACTTCAACATAACAAACGTCTCCAACCATGCATATCTTGATTTCCCTACAAGAGAGTCGTTGAATAAATCATTGTTTCAGAACAAGAATATCATCTCTTTCGTTATATACAAACAAATTATTTTCTTGGACCAATGCAGTCATGCTCAATACAAGAGATTCTTTTTTTGTGTGTACCTATACTTGAATGGAAGCAGGGAGATGTTTAGGGAATGCTGTATCAGGTTGACTTATGATGCAACTTGAATTTGAGTTGGAACTGTGGAAACTTCGGAAACTCATCAGTGCTTTTACACTTTTTCGACATGCAAGCCAAGCAGAAAGGTAGGGGCTGCTTATTTCCTTCTATATTTTTGATAAGTTACTATATAATTCATGGAATTCCGTTATTTGCAGTGGAAACATGTCTTTAGTGATATAAACTATGTACATATCGGAATCACTATACTTGAAAATTTCAGGTACCTACCTACAGCGAAGAGAAAAACTATGAGTGATACAAACAAATTGATGTGGAAGAATCACATCAGGAATCATTATGTGAGTAATGTTCAGAAGGAATGTACCAGAAGGATGATGATGTTTGAGAACAGAATGGAAAATTTTCCATCTGAAATGAATATATAGAAGCAATAAGGTTAGACTCAATATGTTTATTTCATCAATGTCTCCAAACACAAAATATCAAGATGCTGGGATATTTCGAATTTTTTTTATTGGAAAATAACTTGTATATGTACGAATGACATTACAAATATACATATTTTTCAATAAATTGAATATAATTATGAAGAATTATTGCAATTTTTATTCTACTAATTTGTTCTCCTCTGATACCCTGTTTATTGTTGTACAGATGTATTGGCAGGTTAGTTTGAGAACACTATTTATATTGTAGGAAAGGTATATAGGTTAAATATATGCTTTGCTGAACAATGATTATTTTTTATAAAATCATCTTATCCACGAACTTCACTAAATATGGGAAGATGGTCTATAATTGCCACAAATTGAACCATAGGAATATTCAATACCAATATGTATAACTTTTTAATTTCCATAGGAATATTCAATACCAATATGTATAACTTTTTAATTTATATTATGTATTCATTTTGAATAAACTTCTTTATTATTTATTATCATTCTATAATATCTGTTCAAATGCCCGTTTCCTCCTCAGATGCCTTCTTAATCTTCAGGTCGTGTTCCTTAAGGAAGGAGTTCCTCTTCAGCATCATATTCCAAACTACATTGATGAGTCTGAAACTATAAAAATATTTGATATCTATTTTTTCCCCAGTTTCAATGATCTGTGCCATTCTGAAATGAGTTTTAATGACAATTGACTATCGAACAATTTTTAGTGGTCCCAAAGTCAAGTTCTTGGTAATTTTTGTACTGACACTAATAGTTCCAGTCAACTAGAAACTAATAATTTTATTTATATGTATATACCTCCCTTTAACAAACTTGGAACCGAACCCTCCTTCCAAAACCGTTTCCTATTCTTCATTGGCAAGAAACAGTTCCCTTAAAATGTTGGAAACATACAGTATCATGTTCGCTCACTTCAAAAACTCCCATTCCTGAAATATCAATGCATCAAGTTGCAAATATTATGCGATTCAAGAAACAAATTTCACCTTGCAATCCAATGAATATGGCATATACTCATTGATGCCTCAGGATTTGTGGCTCAAATTCACAACAGTGAGGATAGGGGAAACCAGGTCTTGATAATTTTACACCTACACCTCCTAGAGTGCGAAGTTTTCAGATAACATTGCAAAATAACACAATCGCACTCACAAACCAATCAACAAACTGCAATACAAAACCAATACTAGAAGAAATAATTAGGAATAATTGTAATTCTCAAGAATACGAATTCGAAGTATAACATATTCACAAAGACGAAGTTAAAAGTTAATGACAACTGTCAGAAAATAATTTTTTGATTATGACATCTCAATCTCATGAATGAATCTTCTTCATCGCCTTTGTATCAAATATCACGTCGATGATGGAAAGCACATCTGTGGTTGAGTACATATTGGAAAAAAATAGAAGAAGAGAATATCAACCTAATATGGTCTATTTTGACAGAAACAAATGAGCTTTTTCCATTTTCAGGATGCCAGCGCCACTTGACAGGCAGACAGATTTTGATTCAAAGAACAGACAATATTGTACCTCCTCGCGTACTAGGTCGCCTACCTACTAGTTTTTCATTTAGATCGACAATGACAGGAGTAGCTTCATCCGCAGGTGTGGAAAGAATATTTTCATCTTTCGGGTTGGTACATTCGGATCTACGCAACCGACTAGGAGTCGAGAAAGCCGGAATACTAACTTTTCTGATGAAGATTCTGAATAGGTAATAAGCTTAATAAGTTGCATTTGTTTCTCAGATTGTTTTACAAAAAGTGCATGTTATGTTATGATTTGAGATTTCTTTTGTTAAGTAAATAAAATTTGATTTCTTTTCAAAGTGAATTAATTCAAAAAAGTCCGACTTATTTCAAAAAGTCTGACTTTTTTGACTTTTTTATAAAAGTCATGACTTATTCCAACCCTGTATACAACCGAGGGTACAACAAAGAATAAGTAAGAGTAAGTGTTAACGAAATTCTTCATTCATACCAAGGATGCGATGTGATATTTCTGAAAATGAGAACATCTAGGTTCTAAAGAAACACCCTCTACCCCCTATCATTGAGGATCAAATAATCTAATCAATCTTAATGATAACAAAAATTACTCATTACGTGTTCTGGACAAATAGCATATTTCACAACGAATTTTGAGTACATATTACCTAAGTATACAGAGTGTCGAGAGATAAAACCGACAAAACTTGTGAGGTTACAGGGCTTGCCAATGCATGGGATTGCAATGATTGAAACCTTTATTATATTCTGCTTCAGTTGAATAATAAGAGGCAGCTACAGAGTTGTAACATTCACTTTAAGCTATCGTACCGTTTTTGATAAATTGATCCACTGATCAGGCGTTCAGATAATAGTTGTATTTAGATTATACCTTCTTCCTAATCTTCGCTATAGCCATAATCTGATTCCTTCTCCTCAAGACTGCTTATTTCTATTACTGCGGCTATCTCATCCGAATTGGAGATCATCAGACGCTCTATTAAGTACTTATTTCGGAATTAGAAAACTCACAGTAAAGTGTAGGTACATAATCTTGTAAATATTGGTCAGTGCGGTGTGGTGTATCGTGCGACAATATACCGCGGCAAACAAGATAGAAGCTTAAACTGTTCAGCAAGATGATGAGACACATGCTTCGATTACATTTTATAGATTGAAAGTATAGAATTGATTAATTCACATAAATTAATATATAGGGTATAATAGTGACATCTATAACCAGGGTTGGAATAAGTCATGAGTTTTATAAAAAAGTCAAAAAAGTCTGACTTTTTGAAATAATTCGGACTTTTTTGATTTAATTCATTTGAGAACAAATCAAATTCTATTCACTTGAACAAAATACAAGAACATCGAAAAAACTAAGTTTTAATTTCCGTTAAAAATCTCAAAGCGTGACAATAAAATACTTAAAATATGCAATTTTTGCAATATAAACTGAGACTATTGATTGAATGACAAAATTATGTTTATGCATATTATATTACTCATTCACAATCTTCATTATAGAGGCGCTTTACAGTTATTTTCAATAAAATGCAGCAATATCCATGGCGCGCTTACGGATTGGTGTCACCTTGGAAAGCAATTTTTCGATGCATTGCAAGAAATGAGTCCGGACATATTTATTTATATTCTGGTAATTTGTATTACTGGTGCAATTCTAGTGGTGACATGTTAGATTTTCGGAATCATTAGATACACATTGGATCTTACTTTGCTTGCCTTTCTCATAGTTTCTTCTTCTTCTACCCAACTCTTGACCCAACTCAAAACTCGGTGAGAAGTAATACACAGAATCTATGACAAAAAGACATTGCAAGCCGGTAATTCCGATTCAGCGTTGAAAAGCCTGCATATTATTTTTGCCGGAAATATGAATTGGAGCAATCAATTGCATGCAATGAAATATTGCAAACTGTAAAGCGGCTCTTAAAAAATTTTGTTTCCCTCCGATTGGCAGCAAATATTAATTTTGCTGACACATATCAATCAGCAAAGCATTACTTTTCCTGCCTAATAATATAATTTGGAAACATTAATCATTGCCTTACAAAAAATAACAATCAGTGATGCTAGAATAATTTCTGAATATATTTGGAATATCCTTAAGCTAAGATCATTTATTTTGAATGAATAAACTATAATTGTATTATTTTCTTCTTCAATAACTATTGATATTTATTTTATACTTGAACTTGGTAGGTTTTAATGTTCAATCGTTTTTTTTTTATTCATTTCCAGAGTACAAACATACATATATTATCCATTTTTTTTTTTCTGTCATACACTCGTTGCTGTAAACTTGTTTAAGAAGCAATAAACTATTATTATTATTATTATTACTTTTCCTGCCTAGGCAGCAAAGTGGGTACTTTGCTGATTGATATGTATCAGCAAAATTAAAAATCCATAAATCGTTTATAATTTCCTTCATATTTCATCCGAGACTTCTCCGGCAGCAGATTGAACTCTATATTTTTTGCCACCTCCCTTATTAATGGAGGTGTAAGTATACTTCCAGGTCGCTATCACTGTCCATTATATAATAATTTGAATATACCAATATTGTTTCGCACAACTGTCAGAAATTTCATGAATTGTCAAACCAACAACTGCGATTTCTATCAAATTTTATTTTAATTGAACACTATATAGTAAGAATAAAGTGATTGTGGGAATTGTATTAATTCGCAAACACAATATTCTCCCATATCATTATGAACAATCGGAGAAAAAATCATATGTTCAACTCGGCAGCACAGTAGATTGACTGCCTTTGCTGGATTCCTAGCCTCGCTACGCTCGGCTATGAATTCAGCCACGGCAGTCAATTTACTACTTTGCTGCCTAGTTAACACATTGGCTGCGGATTCTTTTAAGCTTACTGAACCTGGGTGCTAATTTTTTTTTAATGTTTTTCTTTTATTATCTTGTTGTAAATATAAATTCACTATTTTTACCAACATATACCAAGTGTTCGTGAAAAATAGTGAATTTATATTTACAACAAGATAATAAAAGAAAAACATAAAAAAAATTAGCACCCAGGTTCAGTAAGCTTAAAAGAATCCGCAGCCAATGTGTTAACAAATACGGGCGACACGGATCCTTGTCATGCGCACGTGGCTACAAGTGAGAGGTGACACGGATCCGGGTCATCAGCATTGAATGTGTTAAACAAATAACTATTTCCGCGTGTGGTGCTTAAACTAGTTTAAATTGAAGGTGATAATGCGATTTGTTCTCATTTGATAAATTTTGAATTAATTCACGACTTATTTGAAAAAAGTCATTTGAATTAATTCACGAATTAAATCACTGACTTAATTCATATGAATTAATTCGTGCCAACCCTGTCTATAACGCTCAACAATTTTCCGGGCAAGCTGCCACCCTGAATCCTCTAACTTATGGAGCTAGATCATTTTCTGGATTATATAAACAATGTTGATCCTACCATAAAGTTCACTATGGAAATTGAATCTAATAGTCAGTTACCATTTCTAGATGTTTTTATTGAAAAATCAAATAACATCTTTGTAACAAGTGTATATCGTAAAAAGACCCATATATACTAACAGATACTTGAACTTTCAATCAAATCATCAGAAAAGTACTAAGAAAGGAATGATCAAATCACTTCATGATAGAGCCAAATCAATATCATCTGACCAACAAATTTTCAATAACGAAGTCCACCACATTGAAAATGTTCTCCAACTCAATTCCTATCCAAAGAATTTTGTCGATAGGACGATTCATCAAATTGAAAACAAACAGGGTCAACCACAACAAAATCAACCATCAATAACGACAAATATACATACATTCCCGGCATATCTGAAAAAATAAAACGTGTTGGTGATACATTTCAAGTGAAAACTGAACACTGTGTTCAAAACTGAAAATACAATGAGATCAACAAAGCCGAAAAATAAAGAACAATCGTAAAAAAATTGTATTTACAGTATTCCTTGTGTTTGTGGGGAGTTTTATACAGGTGAAACCAAGAGACCTCTTTCAGTAAGGACGAAAGGAACATAAGTAAAATATAAAGAAAAGACACATCGATAAATCGAAACTAGCTGAACATATTCTTACTGACGACGGACAACATAAAATATGGCAGAGTGAAATAATATTAAAATCATTGGAAAAGAAGATAACAACCAGAAGAGAAAAATCAAGGAATCTTATTCTTGCATTCTTCTGAACGGAGACAATAGCATTGCTTCTTGTTTGGTTGATATTGACAGAACATGGTATTCACTACTAAAATTTGAACATGAAAATGGTAAATTCAAGATCAATTAATGAAAACATCTTGTAACTCATTTGATTGTCAACGTCACCAATTTTCAATGAAAACTGAAAAGCTTCAAGACAGATACGACTTTACTATTAAAATAATCTTTCCTTATGTTGAAAACGGGAGCAGAATCGGTCCCGAAACGTCCAAAGATAAGTGAAAATTTGATATTTTTTCTATATACCTTTATTTCTCTTCGCCAAACTTTTTTCAATACAAATTGTCACTGACAAGCTAGTGAATTTTTCTTTAAGGCTCTCTGATAGGAAAATTCTTTAAACGCAGTGACATTTTGGGGCAAATCATCTGATTTGTCCTTACTACACGTATATTGAAATAATATTCATATTTTCATTTCATAGAAACGAGGAGAGAAAATCCCAAATAAATTTGGAATAATGAATGTACCACCTCCTCGATTAACCTAGACCAGGGGTCGGCAACCTGCGGCTCGCGAGCCGCATGCGGCTCTTTTGATGTAATGTTGCGGCTCTCCAGGTCCATACGCAAACAATACTAATTCATTATCAAACCCTAAAACAATAAGAAATTTTATTTTCTAGTATTCAGTTTCTCAAAAGCATCTATTTTCATAATCGTCAATGACGTAATGAGATGAATTTGAACTATTGTTTTATTCATAGAGATGAGTGTCCGTGACCATGTTTATCTTTCAGCCAACTCCATTCCATTCGCGTCTCACCCGCACCGCCATCGTCGCGACTTGTTGTAATTTGTGAGTCAAAGTCAAGTCAAGTCAGTCGTCTGGTCGTCTCACTCGTCTCTGGATAGCGCGGTTGATGTTAAGGGTGTTGATTTAATCGCTTACATCAAGTTATAAGCCAGATTTGATAAAACTTTCAAAAGGCATGCAAAGCCAATGCTCTCATTGATATATATCGATATTATTTTATATTTGTGTTTTCATAGGAATAAAAATTATTTGGTATTCAAATCGATTTATTATGAATCGCAAACCAAATGTATAAGCAAATACTACAACATTGAAATGAAAATATTTCCAGTGGCTCTTTGAAAACTGAAAAATTTTGTGAATTGAACTTTTGGCTCTTCCGTTTCAATAGGTTGCCGACCCCTGACCTAGACAGACAGTCTCTAACTTCAGTTTTTAAAAATCATAAGTTTTCAAATTCGAAACATACTATTGATTTTTTCTCATGAAGTTATAGTTAATATGATGAATCCAATTCCCATGAAGTTATTGTTGATATGATGGTTAATGTCATATACAGTGTAACCCAAATTCGATCCTCACCATTGGGATCTCAGTAACTATGAGAGATAGAGAAACGGTTGAATTAGCAAAGTTATAGCAAATTTAATGTTGAAACAGAATCTATCGAGAATTCCGGGCTAGCTTTAGTCATTCTTGTTATTTGAGAAAACCTGAAATCTTGTATTTTTGTTTTTCTCGAATATCTCGGAAACTATTGATTTTATGATAAAATGACTCCAGCATTCTCATAGCACTTTTTTGTGCACTTTTCAATGGTTTTGTCGGTTTTGCATCAAAATGTCAAATTTTTTAGATAATACCTACAACTTGAGGTATCCTAATGAACGCCATATTGAATTTTCACAGATTTGAAATCAGCATTTCCTTTCTAGTGATGTATCATACTCAACTTTGAAAAATCAAAATTTTTCAAATTGGCAATATACCATTGATTTTTTTTCATTAAGTTATTGTAAATGTAATGGTTAATGACATATATATCACCCAATATTTTGCCAGGCGAGTTTTCACCCGTAGTCCTCCCCTCGAACTTAGGAGATCTTCAATTTTGAAAAATCATCAGTTTTCGAACCCGGAATTTTGAATTGATTCTTTTCACAAAGTAATAGTAAAAAATGTGATGGTGAATATCTTTTGACACCCAATATTTTGCCGGGCGTGGATTCACCCCGAATCCACCGAATTGGAAAAATCATTAATTTCCGAATTTGCCATTATGGTAGAAGAGTTTGGTATTGGCGGATACAATATATGGCGGAAGGTTTGTAATCATAATTCGATTCTTTTAAAAATTAGTGTGAAGGTTTTTGGGTCGGAGGTTCTGATTCTTTCGTCAAAATTTCAAAATTAAAGATGGCGAATCCAATATGGCGGACGAGTTTTGTAATTTTTATCTGAATATATTCTAAATTTGTATATCTGTGAGTTTTCGGGATCAGAGTTCATGATTCGCTCGCTAAAATTTTAAAATTCAAGATGGCGGATCCAATATGGCGGACGAGTTTCGTAATCATGATCCGAATCTGTCCAAAGTTAGTATCTGGAAGTTTTTGGGATCAGAGATTATGATTCTTCCGTCATAATGAAAATTTGAATTGGCGAATCCGATATGGCAGACCAGTTTTGTATTTGGGGATTTTCGTCAAAATTGTAAAATTCGAAATGGCGGATCCGCAATATAGTAGACGAGTTATATGATCCGATTCTATTCAAAATTGGTATCTGATTGTTTCCGGGGTCAGAGTAGGTTGATTTTGACAAAATTGAAAAATATAATATCGGCTATCAATCAGCAGACGGGTTATGTAATCATGATGCGATTCTATCAAAAATTAGTATCTGGGGGAGTGTCAGGTAAGATATTATGATTCTTTCGTCAAAACTGGCTACTTGAAAATAATATGAGAAAACTAATGAATACGATTTTGTAGTAAGCCGTTAGGAATAGAAAATGAAATAATTGAAGTGTTTTGATATAGATACACAACATGAAATGTACTGATTACGGAGATCTGTATGTATGTATGTATGTATGTATGTATGTATGTATGTATGTATGTGTGTGGGCGGTCCGGGACCTGACGCACTTAGGCCTCCCTTTTCGGGCCCATTGTGCACCCACATTCCTGGGATCGCAAGTCAGCCATGGAGAAGGCCGATCTCGCGAGCAAAAGAGACCAACTTCCTAGGCCAAATCTTTTTAACATCCTCTGGGTCCAGGATACTGCTCCCAAAATGGATATCCCTTGCTGCCACTATTGCCGGGCATTCAGTGAGGATGTGAGTAGAAGTCTCTTCATCCTCTAGGCACCATCTGCATTCTGGATCCTCCACAATCCCGATCATGCTGAGATGTTTGTTCAGGTGGCAGTGCCCTGTCAGCAGGCCCACCACCAGTTTCAGCTCCTTCCTGTTCAAAGCCAAGAGGGCATTGGTCTGTCTTCGTGACGGGTTTCCTATATGGAGTTTGGACTGCCTCATTCGAGGAGCCTTTCTCCAGCTGTCCTGAACCTTTTCCGTCAGGATTTCCTTCATCTTGGAGTTGCTCCAGGATCGAGTGACCCCTAAGATTGGCTCTGGGCCAATCACTGAACCTTTCGCCCCCTTTCTGGCCAGACCATCGGCCATTTCGTTACCTGGTACCCATGAGTGTCCAGGGACCCACAAAAGACATACCTTATTCGTTGCTGACAGCCTTTGTAGGCTATCTATGCACTCTGACACCAAGGCGGAGGTCACCCTATACGAGGTGAGCGCCTTGATCGCCGCCTGGCTGTCAGTGCATATAGTGATTTGCTGGCTGTGATAGCCCCTCTCGATATTCTCTCGAACACATGCAAGTATTGCAAATACTTCAGCCTGAAAAATCGTGGCATGTTTCCCAAGGGTATAGCAGTGATTTGCCCTTGGAGACTGCCCATAGACCCCAGCACCTGCGCATTCTTCCATCCTGGAGCCATCTGTATACCAGATGATGCCCTTGGTGGGTATTATGCAGTGCCCATTCTGTTCCCAGTCTATCCTAGTAGGAATCTTGACTTGGGGCATTTTCCTGAATCGAATGATCGGTGTTATGCTGTCCCCTTTCATACTGAGTGAGGGGTAGTCGTCTGTAATTTGCTTCCAGAGGCGAGAATGTCCGTATGTTCCTTCGCTCCTCCACTGGTTACAGCTTTGTAAGCGAACGGCGGCCTTCATCGCCTCATGTTCTATATACAGGTTCAGAGGCGGCAGTTCGGTCAGAGTCTCCAACGCCCTTGTCGGCGCCGTCCTCATTGCTCCTGTTATGGATATGCTGGCCAGTCGTTGAACTCTGTCGAGCTGACTCCTCGACTTGCCTGTCAGCGTCCCCGGCCACCATACGATGGCCCCATATGTTATCATTGGACGTATGAGAGCGGTGTACACCCAGTGAAGGATACTTGGCTTGAGCCCCCACGTTCCCCCAAACGTCTTTCTGCACGCCCAGAACGCTGCCGTAGCCTTCTGGACCTTCCTCTCAATATGCTCGTTCCAATTGAGCCTAGAGTCAAGAATGACTCCTAGATATTTGGTAGAGCCTTTATACCGCAGGGACTTGCCCGATAGTCGTATATCGGGGAGGTCCCCTGCCTTGCGTTTTCTGGTGAAAAGTACTACTTCCGCCTTTTCAGGGTTAGCTCTTAGTCCCGTGCTACGACACCAGCGGTCCACCCCGTCCAGGGCCCGTTGTGCCTGTCTCCGACTGGGAGTGAACCCCCTACTGTCGATCAGGATGACTATGTCATCTGCGTAAGCCTGGATATAGTATCCCATGCTATGTATCTTCGATAGGAGGTCGTCCACGACGAGGCACCATAGAAGGGGTGATAGCACCCCTCCCTGCGGGCAGCCTCTTGATACAACGGCCTCCTCGAGGCTGTTTTGAAGAGTGGCTCTCACTATCCTTCTCGAGAGGAGTGCGTGTATCCACTTTATCAAAATTGGACTAACACCCCTCTCCTCCGCTGCACGACATATAGAGTCAAATGATGTATTGTCAAATGCTCCCTCAATGTCTATGAATATTCCAAGGGCAGAGTCCTTGCGATCTAACACCCCCTCAACTCTATGAACGAGTCGATGAAGAGCCGCGTCAGTACCCCTACCACTTTGGTACGCAAATTGAAGGTCACTGAGTGGTGATTCGCTCAGTGGCCCCTCTCTGATGTGACGATCTACCAGTTTTTCTAACGCCTTTAACAAAAACGATGTGAGACTGATGGGCCGAAACGATTTTGCCTGCGTGAAATCAATTTTTCCAGGCTTCGGTATGAAGATCACTATAGCTGTTCTCCAGGCCTTGGGGACATACCCGTGTGCCAGACAGCTTCTGAAGATCTTCAGGAGATGTAGAATGAGGATGTCCAGTCCCTGTTGTAAAAGGGCCGGACAGATTCCATCCTCACCTGGTGATTTGAAGGGTGAAAAGGATTCGATTGCCCATTTCACTCTGTCATATGTTACAATTTTTGAGGCTATCGTGAAGTCGATCCGAGCTTCGACTGAGGTGACAGCCTCAGAATCAGGCTGCAGAAAGGTGCAACCTGGAAAGTGCGTGGAAAGCATATGCTGTAGCGTCCCTCTATCCGATGAGGTGTAGCTCCCATCGGGAAGGGTCACCGTCCCCAGCTTAGCCCTCGGGTCCTTGGAGAGAACTTTGTTGAGCCTTGCCGCCTCAGGAACAGTATTTATTCCTTGGCAGTACGCTCTCCACGAGTCCCTGCGAGCATCGCGGATCGCTTTTTTGAATTCCCTCTGGGCCAGTTTGTACTCTTCCCAGTGGGCCCGTTTTTCTGTTCTTTTGGCTTTATTCAACAGCTTTCGGACTTTCTTTCGATGGAGTTCAATTTTTGAATTCCACCATGGTGTTTTGCCTAGACAGTCTGTCCTTTTCAGGGGACAGCTGGCTTCGTATGCTTCGACTATGGCAGAATTGAGACATCCTACGAATGTCT